GATACGTCATTTTATCATTTTGAACATATTTATTTTAACAATATATTCTATAAAATAAAAACGTTACAGTCGGTTTGAACAGACTTAGTAATACTCTGTTCATGGATTAATTACCTTTTCAGTCAAATTAGGCTTATCATTAGGAATTTCCTGAGCTTGGGGCAGTAGAACAGCATCTCGGGTTATAAGCCCTGCTCCACTGGATACTTCGTTTGAGTCCTCGCCCTTTATTGGTTCCACACGAAGATTCTCATCGGAATTTTTTTTTTTTTCGGGGATCCTCGAATTTTTATTCGATTCTATACTGACACGGCCATACTAAAAATACAAAATGTTAAGAAAATTAAAACGTAAATACGATACAGTTGCTTTTTAACAGTGCAAATCTTTTGAATACAGAAACAAAACTGAATTAATATTTTTATATTTATATTCCGATTAAAACAATTGTTTTGATACGGAGATGAACATTAGTGTTGTTTTTACTTTGGCGACTTTACATGCCCACTCGAGATTAGATTATCAAAGAACAACATAGCGCTTTCAACAATACTAATAAATAACAAGAAACTAGAGGTTATGGGATTATGGGGACTAGGGGATACTCAGAACCCTCTTCTTGTAAAAATTCCGAATACAAACTAAAATACACTAGAAAATCAACTAAACGATCGTAATGGTATGGGTTTATGTTATTTAGAAAAATTATTTTCTTATTGAGAACAACTCGTGTATGTCAATATTTAAGATACGATAATGGTAGCCGTACGCAGAAAGATAAGGAATAGTTTAAAGGGAAGTTCGGTGAATGGGTTGTAAAGGCCTTGCAGTCACCAGACCAAGCTGCGGTGCACTTAGTGAAGTCACTTGGGATCCTGATGCAAAATTCCTCTGAAACGACGCATTGCGTCGACGTACAATTTTCATCAAAGAAATAAAGTAAAATTTTAATAGATCGGTAAGATATGCAACAGTGCGTTAGAAGAAAAGAAAGAACGCAAGGAACACGAGGTTTTTTAAGATCTGCTTTAAATTATATATATATATATATATAGAAGCTACATGTCAAATTTGGTGACAAGATCTTACGACCAAAGGAATATTTTCAAAAAACAAGATTTCGATATTGATTATCGGAAACAAAGTCGTACTACGCGGGCACTAGGAGGACCTACTTTCCAAATTATAAGTCTCTCGCTCTTAAAGGTTCTGAGATCCTTGAGTTCATACATACGGACGGAAAGACAAATCCTTGCGTCCATACATACGGACGGACAGACAGAGGTTCATGGCTAGATCGACTCGCCTACTGATGCTGATCAAAAATATATATGAATGTATTCTTTATGGGTTCGGAGAGGCTTCCTGCTGCCTGTAACATACATTTGCACAAAAACAGTGAACCTTTTTAACCATTTTCGATGGGTTTACTGTATATAAGAACACATACATATACAATCTCATACGGAATTTACTGCCCAATTTACAGGTTGAAAGCTTATTGGAAAAATCCGATATGAGCTCATCTCTGATTCGAATATTGTTTTGCATACACGCGTTGAAAGTTGCATACTGACAAAGACTGATCCGCATCTACTTCTATGAGATCGGCGCGTGAACGAGTGGCCCACATCACTACTGAATTAACAATTTCACTGCCTTGGTCAGCACGGCCATGACATACATACGTACATACGTATAGTTTATTCACGAAATAATTTTGACAACTATTAAGTTGATGTCAAATTCATGATTTGATTGATGCATTAAATGAACTTACAAATTAGTTCCATATGCTAAACGCAGTTGTATTTACATATATACTTGATTTCAAATCCACAATTATTCGATAATGGCGATATAATTGGACGAGCTATATTTATGAACTTCTTAAATTAAAAAGATAACAATGAAAATAATTAATGAGGTGTTGCAATTTTATATAGAAATATATATCTACATATCTATTAAAAATATTCATATGAAAACATAACGTAATAAATCACTTAATTTACCTCAAATATCCTTAATAGGAGGGAAACGTACGCCTTTCGAACACCAACAGATTTGTTGATTGCTGATAAAATAATTAAGAATGAAATAAATCCCGTTAACGGAATCCAACAAATATTTACGATTCCGTATAACATTCTATTTCAATTTCTATAATTTATTTTATTTTAATATCGAAGATAGAATTAATATATCTGAGTTCATTTGACAACTTTCGGTGAACAATAGAGATGACCGATAACTGCTTAGACCGTTACACATAATGAGTATTTAAAGTGTACTAGTAACGGCCATTGTCAATTTATAGATTAGCATTCTTAACGAAATACCCCATTCTGAATATTCACATTGTATTAATTTTTGGAGTACAAATAACATAAACAACTCAATTTCGGTGTTTATACATTGGTTTATGTTGAGTACCGTAGATAACCATTGTAAGGGTATATAAGATGGTACAAAAGTCAGCTGATAAAAAACCTATCTAACTATTTTGACAACAAACCAGATTTAGATTCCAAATTAATTATTGAGGCCTAACCATGAACAAAGAACCAAACCTCGTGGAAATCGGATAATATTTGACCGAGTTATGGGGGTTGGAAGTTTTGACGTATGTCTATATAGGATATTTGAGGGAACCATTTTTACATGAATTTTGACCAAGAATGGTGTTTGAGTTTTTATAAGACAAAATTAGAAGTGAATTTTAGTTGAATGATAATAATAAAATACATTGCTTACATTAGATATGCGCAGTAAAAGCAGAGCTGCATATGGTACAAATAATTCAGGAAACATTTGGAGCCTGATTAATTTATTTTATCTGACAACTCTCAAGTTCCTTTCTCTCGCTACCTTAACGTTTAGGTAGGAGAAACAGCTTAAATAAGAAGCAATTTAACTTTTTCAAAGCCAAAACAGCAACTATATTCAATTAAAAATATGACATTTTATGTGGATGTAGACGCGTCCATAGTTTAAAGCAACAAAATATTAGTTTAAACGTACGGCTGGCAGATAATTGAAGTCACTACAGCAAACTTTTTGTTCCATTCCACTGTCTCAAAAATGAAGCAGCCTATCAAATCATATCTAATTTTGTATAAAGATGGACACACATTATTTTGTTCTAATAGTTTAAGTAAAAAACATAACATACGAAATCACGAAAGATTTAAAATGAGCGGAGCTCATAGAGAAACAGTTCAAAAGCAAATTCATCAGGATTGGGCAAATAGGGAGTATATTGAAGTAATTACAGCAAGCATAAAGCGGATCACGGATTTTTTGAATTCGTTTGGTAAGACCTTATAATATTTTTCATCACCTAACACCTGTAGTTCTGTATTGACATTGATCAGTGCAATAATACAAAATAAAATATACTTGTTAAGGTCCGCCGGTATTTACTTTAGAAAATGCAAATGTCCCATTTATTATCTTAAACAGTTTCTTCATGCAAGTAAGAAAATAATAAACTATGGCGACACTTATTTCGTGCAGATGTTATACACAATATAAAACCCATATTGTCGCTTATCTATTCAAGTCATCAAATCTTTTAAATGCAGACTTATTTATTAAAAACATTCTTATTGATTTTTTCACAAATTAAAAACACAACAAGAAAGTTTGGAATTCTTTGGCACGCCCAAATTTTAATACCATTGTAGTCTGTTGCTCTATTATTTTGCTGATATGTACATATGTATAAATTATGAAGTTCATAAATGAAAATACAATAATTTTCTATACCAAAACTCACTTTTCAACCGATTCTTCCAATATGATATATAATTTAGTAGTGCGCTCTTCATAAGATTTGACACATATGTATGTAAATAAGCAAAATAGTTTTCCATTCAAGATATGATATAGTGCTCCGATCCGGTCTGTTCCGACATGTGTACTGCTTGCATCGGAATGACAGACCTATGCAAAGTTTATAGACAAAGAAAAAGAAAGAGACAGACCGATAGTGCTATCTCGATTCGATGATATAGAATATATATATATATACTTTATGCAGTCGGAGAGGTGGCGCTCTCTTTGCGTTACTCATATAACAAAATTGTAATACCCTCTAAAAGGGTATCCAAATTTTTAAAATAAATGATCACGGTTTATCACCTTCAGTTGCGGTTAATCTCTATCCGTATTGTGCAGCGTAAATCGCTGTATCTTCTTCTATGCCGTCAGCCATTTCAATGCCATACTGTATTTTAACAGATTATGGACTGGTCACACTAGAAACGTAGATGATAAAAAACCAGCCCCCATACTATTTGCGGGATTTGTTAATATAAGTCCAAGTACGAAACAATAAATCATCTAACATTTTGTGACAGATAAGGGTCAAAAACACCTAAATATTTAATACTTATATACTCGAAAAGATTTATGCTATAAAAAATTAAAGCAAATCTGAAGCAATCGGCTCCAAAGTTAAAAGTGAAGATTGAGAAAGCAATGGATAAAAATATTGTGCAAAATCAGTTCGCTTTATTAAACTATTCCAAGCTCATTTTGGGTCTGAGTGCTGTCCATGTGTTATTAAAGTCTTTCCCACTATTAAGTCCAATTACTTTATCGTAGACTTATTAACAAAACGTAGAGTAATACTCTAAAATTATATAAATACTTTTTCTAAAGAGACATTTCTTCTTTTCAGATATGTCCTGTCGATCAAGACTTGCGGTACTCAATGAAAAACTTACAATATTAGAACGCCGTATAGACTACTTGGAAGCTTGCGTAACCCAAGGAGAAACATTAACATAAATGTTTCATCCATATGCTAATATTTAAATTAGTTTTAAGTTGTGGCTTTTTATTCATAAAATACATTAATAAATACAGTTTCAAATATTATTATGGAATTTCTTTTAATCTTTCTCCATAGCGCAGTAGTTAAACATCGACCAATAATGATTTTCGTTCTGACCAGGGATTAAAAACAAATGGAGGCAAAAATAAACTACATATTTTAACTATTTTATTATAAATATTTATTAGCAGACAAACAAATGTTTAAAAATAAAAAACACATTATAATTGTAGACTTACGCCCTAAAAGGAAAAGGCCAAAAAGATTAAAAATTATATAACAATATGAATACAATTTGGAAAGACGAAATTAATTACTATATCGTGGTTTTCGAAAAAGTTTAAAGTTTGGATGAAAATATTTTACTACAATAGTGCCATATTTGTTGGAGTCTGTGTGGCTTAAGTGTCTGAGAGCTAAATCTACAAATTATTTACATAAATTACAATATTTTTCGACCAGTTGCATATATAATACGGTTGTATTCTTTTACCGTACGGATATACACGCTGCTGCCAACACAACGTTGTGTTTAAGTCAAGTAAGTTGTCCAGGTAGATACCCGTAGCGAATATGGTTATCCTTAAGCATGGCCACGTTGTTGAGCTGGATATCATTACAGTTTGGTTGCTTGAGCTGAGACTTTTCGCCGTTGATGCAGATGAATTGGCCCAATACCCAAGCGATCCAAAACCTCGTGTCTAAGTGTAGCACCACACTTCTATGTGCCTGCCTTGGTAAGGATGGTGTCATCCGCGTAATAAAAAATGGCAGGCTCTTTGCATATTCAGGTACTGTATTCGTAGCTAATGCTGTTGATGTCACTTTTATTGCTGCTGCTGTGACTGCCCTACATAATGATTCCGTTGGTGGAAATGCCGGGACGTTTGGTGTTGGTTTTCTTGGTCTGCAGTTGTCAGTGTTGCATTGTGTGCATTGCTGTCGTAGTTAATATTGGTGCTACTGTTACAGTGGCTCCAAATTATGCTGTGGAGGCTCCTGTGAAACGGGATTATCATATTAATTTTCTTCCTTTTTCAATTTTATTTAATTGAATAAATAAATAATTATAAAACATTTAGGTAATTGAATAAACACCAGGTAAAGCATACGTCAATTTTCTATCCTGGTTTATAAACGTATGATATCTATTAAGTCTGGAGTTTAAGATCCTCCTTTATAAAACGGTACTAAGCCAATCTTTACATACCACTTATTGGGAAAATAGCGGGTGATCTTATCTCCCTATGAAAAACGATGTCATTACCTTTTCATTCAATTTGCTTAACTCTTCATCCGCAATTACATTTTTTTGCTTAAATTGCCACCAATTATTGCTTAATGTGGTAACATGGGTTGATATGTTTTGAAAGCGATCTAATAAGTCCTCCAACTTTATCTGAAAAAGAGTAATTTATATTAAATTCAACGCACAATTTAAGACAATTTATTTACTTTGTGTGCCATTATCTCTTCATGTAGAATTTTTATTGTCTGCCTGAGAGTGTTGTTAACATACACAATTTTGTTATCCACATTTTTCAAATCATTTTCCAACGTTTTTTCAATCAAATTAACATCCTTTGTATAATTTGTTGATGAAGAACAATCTTGAACGGTCGACATTCGACTTATATTGGCCTAAAAGTTGTTAAGTCCGTTAAAATAATAGATGTACAAGTATATAGTTTACTTTCCTTTATAATATCCATATCAACCTCAAAGCTTTTCTGCACCTCGACGACCCTTTTGTAATGTTCCTTCATAACATCTATATCAGCAACAACTGCCTCTAATTTAGCTCCAAAGTCAGCGACTATCTTTTCATCCTGACCGTAAGTTCTTTGTGAATTTACTGTTGCTTGAAGGCTGCTTAAATTACTTCCCAAAAGTTCGACGTTTTGAGTTAAGTCATTTAATTGGTATACAACCGAAGATTGATTTTTTATAAACAATGCTGTGGTTTCATGCCAATGTTGAAGTGTATCCGGAAAAACTTTACTCACTGCAGAAACTATTAAAACGAGCATATATATATTTGTTAATATTTAATTGATTGAAATTAGCATTACAGTCGGCCCAAAAAATGTATCGTACTAACTTTACCATTAAGTTTAATTAAATGTAACTTGTATAGTATATTTTTAGTAAACAAAATCTGTTTGCGACACAGAGGAGGATGTGTTTCCCGTTATGGATCATATTCAAGTGGCACAAAATTAGGAATCTACATTTTGTAGGTTTTTGTTTAATAATTTGTTTACCGTCTGTCAAATGACAGCAATTAAATTTGCTTTAGTTAAAAATGAGAAATTAAGGACACATTTGGAACCCTGGAGATTATATACCCTTTTATACATTTGCCTTTTGCAGTTAACATTCTGATAAATATGTATATAGCTATATACGCATGATCGGTCAAACACGAATTATTGTATGATAGATCCATTGTTTTTTTTTAAATCTTCACTAAAGAAAGCAAGTATAAGTTTCACCTTTATAAAATATTATCAAAATCCCATAAACATAGGTCTACAATATCAAAATATCTTTACTATTCCTACAGTATGATCATAAGCTATATAAAATTCAGTACCAATATTTATTATGTATTATCTCGAAAAACGTTTGTATGGAACTTTTTTGTTTATCATCCGAGCGGCCTCAAACTCATTTTCAAAAATGTTTGTTCGAATTAATATGAAGGTTGTTTCACACATTTCGCAAAATCAATTCCTACTAAATGGGGGTCAAATATTTGGTGGATGACATTCCTTTTTTTCAATTCATTTCAAAAGATCTTTACGAAAAATCATGTGAGACATGTTTCACACTTTTTGCAGAATCCAACCTGGATCGATGGCAAAATCCGATTCAAAGATTTTTGGAGTTTTGTCTGATTTAATTCAAACATATTTTCGAATCCCTACAAGAACTTAATGAATACGTGTACGAAATTCCACCCGCAATAATCACTCAGGACAAACAGTTTTATATAAAGAGATTATTGAATTTAATGATATTATTCACAAAGAATAATAAACTTATTTGCTTTGTCAACAACAAGCAGACGATAGAGTACACTATTCGAACCATTTAATAAGACGGAAAACAATAGAAGAGTATAGCGAGAATGGGAATTAGAATGGGAATGGGAATTACAATTAGATTTTAATTGATTATTATTATTAAAATGACGTATTAATCTTGGGCCAACTGTATATGCATAGAAACGAACATTTACCTTCTTCAAACTTTTGTTGATAATCGGATATCTGCTTGCGTAAATCAAAGTACGCCCAGTACAAAATGGCCAGAACAAAAACGATTGTTATCCCGAAAAGAACTGGCCCGCACTTACGGATATATATTTGCTTCTTATGATTTCGACGGATATTAGGAACGCTCATCTAATCAGAACAAACACACACGACATGTATGTATGTATGCACATAGAATGATACATATATACATATGAGCCATACACATGTATGAATTAGATTATAAGTTGAGCGATTGTTTCAAGGTAAATTTATTACCCATGCTAAATCATCAGGGTCATCGGTGGATACTGACAGTAACTTATCCTGTGAGTTTATGGTGCGGTGGTAGCCCCTCTTTGTGAGGGAATGTGCTATTAGAGCATCGAGTTCTTTCCGTTTCTTCATTTTCTTTCCTCCGCTAGAACGCAGGGGAACTTCTATAAAATGATTGCAGTTCATTCTGCAATCTATAAATATGAACACTTTCCACTATATGAACTTATATTTAAGAAGTATGTTTACAAGTTTTAAGTTTATACAAAAAAATCGATACTTCTAAACTGCTTCAATGTTTTAATATCGACTATTCGATTCTTATCGATGTTTCTACGAACATCGGCAAACACGAACATAGTGTGAAAGAGTGTATTTTGGATATGTGTAAAGGATACGACAACCTATCAGCCGTGCTTCGCTTTACCCTTTTGGAAGTCCTGGACAGGTCAAAACGAAAGTAGCGTCCGTTTTAAAAAGGAGATCATTTTTCTTTTTAGCTAATAAATACTCTTTTATAGTCAGTAAAAGAAGAAAACTAGCATTATTAAATATACAAATTTTAAAAATATTTATTCCAACTGACGCGTTTGAACTTGCATCCCCATTAATCTAACGATCTAGCGCTTTGCGCTTGATTCCACGTGGCTTGCCTATATACATATGTAACTATGCGCTTTCTCTAATAACTAATTTTTTTTTTTTTTTTCGTTAGACCTCAAGTTCAATCTGGCATCTAAATCTGGCTACATTATTTTTGGTCAAAATTCTGTAAATTGGTACTCTCAAATATCCTATATAGACATAGGTCGATAATTCCCATTACCATAACTCGGTCAAAACTCAACCGATTTTCATTAGGTTTGGATGTTTGCTTATGGTTTGCCCTCAAGATCAATCTGGCATCTAAATCTGGCAACATTATTTTTGGTCAAAATTCTGTAAATTGGTACTCTCAAATATCCTATAGAGACATAGGTCGATAATTCCCTCTACCATAACTCGGTCAAAACTCAACCGATTTTCATTAGGTTTGGCTTTTTGCTTATGGTTTAACCTGAAGATCAATCTGGCAACATTATTTTTGGTCTAAATTCAAGTGAAAATGGTTGCCTCAAATATCCTATATAGACATCGGCCGAAATTTCCTACTACCATAACTCGGTCAAAACTCAACCGATTTTCATTAGGTTTGGCTTTTTGCTAATGGTTTGACTACAAGATCAATCTGACATCTAAATCTGGCAATATTATTTTTGGTCGAAATTCAAGTGAAAATGGTAGCCTCAAATATCCTATATAGACATCGGCCGAAATTTCCCACTACCATAACTCGGTCAAAACTCAACCGATTTTCATTAGGTTTGGCTTTTTGCTTATGGTTTAACCTGAAGATCAATCTGGCATCTAAATCTGGCAATATTATTTTTGGTCAAATTTCAAGTGAAAATGGTATCCTCAAATATCCTATGTGGACATCGGCCGAAATTTCCCACTACCATAACTCGGTCAAAACTCAACCGATTTTCATTAGGTTTGGCTTTTTGCTTATGGTTTAACCTCAAGATCAATCTGGCATCTAAATCTGGCAACATTATTTTTGGTCAAAATTCAAGTGAAAATGGTAGCCTCAAATATCCTATATAGACATCGGCCGAAATTTCCCACTACCATAACTCGGTCAAAACTCAACCGATTTTCATTAGGTTTGGCTTTTTGCTTATGGTTTAACCTCAAGATCAATCTGGCATCTAAATCTGGCAACATTATTTTTGGTCAAAATTCATGTTAAATTGGTACTCTCAAATATCCTATAGAGACATAGGTCGATAATTCCCTTTACCATAACTCGGTCAAAACTCAACCGATTTTCATTAGGTTTGGCTTTTTGCTTATGGTTTAACCTGAAGATCAATCTGGCATCTAAATCTGGCAACATTATTTTTGGTCTAAATTCAAGTGAAAATGGTTGCCTCAAATATCCTATATAGACATCGGCCGAAATTTCCTACTACCATAACTCGGTCAAAACTCAACCGATTTTCATTAGGTTTGGCTTTTTGCTTATGGTTTTACCTCGAGATCAATCTGGCATCTAAATCTGGCAACATTATTTTTGGTCAAAATTCATGTTAAATTGGTACTCTCAAATATCCTATATAGACATAGGTCGATAATTCCCTCTACCATAACTCGGTCAAAACTCAACCGATTTTCATTAGGTTTGGCTTTTTGCTAATGGTTTGACCACAAGATCAATCTGGCATCTAAATCTGGCAACATTATTTTTGGTCAAAATTCAAGTGAAAATGGTAGCCTCAAATATCCTATAGAGACATAGGTCGATAATTCCCTCTACCATAACTCGGTCAAAACTCAACCGATTTTCATTAGGTTTGGCTTTTTGCTTATGGTTTAACCTGAAGATCAATCTGGCATCTAAATCTGGCAACATTATTTTTGGTCTAAATTCAAGTGAAAATGGTAGCCTCAAATATCCTATATAGACATCGGCCGAATTTTCCTACTACCATAACTCGGTCAAAACTCAACCGATTTTCATTAGGTTTGGCTTTTTGCTTATGGTTTTACCTCGAGATCAATCTGGCATCTAAATCTGGCAACATTATTTTTGGTCGAAATTCATGTTAAATTGGTACTCTCAAATATCCTATATAGACATAGGTCGATAATTCCCTCTACCATAACTCGGTCAAAACTCAACCGATTTTCATTAGGTTTGGCTTTTTGCTAATGGTTTGACCATAAGATCAATCTGGCATCTAAATCTGGCAACATTATTTTTGGTCAAATTTCAAGTGAAAATGGTATCCTCAAATATCCTATATAGACATCGGCCGGAATTTCCCACTACCATAACTCGGTCAAAACTCAACCGATTTTCATTAGGTTTGGCTTTTTGCTAATGGTTTGACCACAAGATCAATCTGGCATCTAAATCTGGCAACATTATTTTTGGTCTAAATTCAAGTGAAAATGGTAGCCTCAAATATCCTATATAGACATCGGCCGAAATTTCCTACTACCATAACTCGGTCAAAACTCAACCGATTTTCATTAGGTTTGGCTTTTTGCTTATGGTTTTACCTCGAGATCAATCTGGCATCTAAATCTGGCAACATTATTTTTGGTCAAAATTCATGTTAAATTGGTACTCTCAAATATCCTATATAGACATAGGTCGATAATTCCCTCTACCATAACTCGGTCAAAACTCAACCGATTTTCATTAGGTTTGGCTTTTTGCTAATGGTTTGACCATAAGATCAATCTGGCAACATTATTTTTGGTCAAATTTCAAGTGAAAATGGTATCCTCAAATATCCTATATAGACATCGGCCGGAATTTCCCACTACCATAACTCGGTCAAAACTCAACCGATTTTCATTAGGTTTGGCTTTTTGCTAATGGTTTGACCACAAGATCAATCTGGCATCTAAATCTGGCAACATTATTTTTGGTCAAATTTCAAGTGAAAATGGTATCCTCAAATATCCTATATAGACATCGGCCGAAATTTCCCACTACCATAACTCGGTCAAAACTCAACCGATTTTCATTTGGTTTGTCTTTTTGCTTATAGTCTAACCTGAAGATCAATCTGGCATCTAAATCTGGCAACATTATTTTTGGTCTAAATCCAAGCCTCAAATATCCTATATAGACATCGGCCGAAATTTCCTACTACCATAACTCGGTCAAAACTCAACCGATTTTCATTAGGTTTGGCTTTTTGCTAATGGTTTGACCACAAGATCAATCTGGCAACATTATTTCTGGTCAAAATTCAAGTCAAAATGGTAGCCTCAAATATCCTATAAAGACATCTGCCGAAATTTCCCACTACCATAACTCGGTCAAAACTCAACCGATTTTCATTAGGTTTGGCTTTTTGCTAATGGTTTGACTACAAGATCAATCTGTCATCTAAATCTGGCAACATTATTTTTGGTCAAAATTCAAGTCAAAATGTTAGCCTCAAATATCCTATATAGATATCGTCCGAAAATTCCCACTACCATAGCTCGGTCAAAACTCAACCGATTTTGATTAGGTTTGGCTTTTTGCTAATGGTTTTACCTAAAGATGAATCTGGCATTTTTGGCAAGGAACTGGCTAAAATAATAAAACGGGGCTTGACGGACAACATGGCAAAATACGTGTATACGTTGGGTGTACTCACCGTGAATATTTCACTAAAGTGAAATCCTGCATGCGTTTTTAAAACCTCGGCAATATCCATAACATGTTCCGATATTATCAACGTAGACGTTAAAAGTCTTGCCGGTATGTTCTCTTCCCGCGTTTTGATTGATTGAGTTTCCTGAAATCTATGATCAGGCACTTCTCACCTGCGCCTGAGTCATCAATGGCTTTCTTACTCACTACCCAGATCCCATTGTTGTACGGCGACCTAGATAGGCGAATGATACCGTTTTTTAGCAAAGCTTTTACCTCTTTGTCGACAAATTCGGCCGCACTCATAGGAAAAGGATATAACTTTGAATAAACCGGTCCATTTCCTCGTTCCGGATTATTCCGTCGACCGACGTATTAAATCGCAGCAGCTATTTAGGATCAGCGAATGCCTAAACCCGGACTTTCATCAGCATTGAAACTGAGTCACTGTTATAATCCATTTCATTTTAATCTTCGATCTTCCGGACGAAGATCATGTTGAGCTAAATGATTAACTCACAGACGCGTCTGATCAGTTTGCCTATCCGAACGGTTTGACCTTTTTATACCCTGAACCCTTTTAAATTGGGTAAAAAGGGTATAATTTATTTCTGTAAATGCATGTAACAGGCAGAACGAATCATAAAGTATATATATTCTTGATCAGCATCAATAGCCAAGTCGATCTAGCCATGTCCGTCTGTCCGTATGGATGATATTGTGAACGTAGGTCCTCCTAGTGCCCGCGCAGTACAAGTTTGTTTTCGATAATCAATAGCTTTCCCCGTTTCCAAGCAATCGATAAAAATCGATATCGAAATCCTTTTTTTTGAGCTAATCTCGTAAGTTATAAGAGCTAGAGTCGCCAAACTTGACATGTAGCTTCCTGAATAGTATTTATATATGAAGTATCTATCATTTTACGGCTATCAGATAGGCACAATTAAATTAATCGAGGATTATTTTTTAATTTGTTCTGAATGATCCGATGATTATTTGTAATTTATTTAAATTTTTGCACCCAAAGCGGTGAGTGTAGGCGGTTTTTCCATTCTTATATTTTTTTTCTTCAAATTTTTCAACAAGGTGCGTTTGCTCAAAGTACCCTTATCAACGACCCAGTTGAAGGCCAATGGCATTACAAAGGGACACTCGTAGACATTCTTCCGCGTTTCGCAGTTAATCGCAAGACGGGCGCCCCTATGCGCTCGATTCAACTTCTGATAACCCAATCCCACAAAAATCGACGCTGCCGATAATTCCAAATGCAACATCACCACGCAAACTACTATAAGCAAACGGACAACACAATTACAAATAATCTGCGTGCGCATTTCCTAGATTGGCCCACGCAGCCGGCTAAGAACGGACGCCCAACGTAGGCCACATCCACGGTCTGGAACCGGGACCTGGTCTGGAAGACTCAAGTGGATTAATAGTGTCTTTTGTTGTTTTGTATTAAAGTCTCACCTTTGTGGTTTTCATTAATTGTAGTTCCAGCTGTTTATATTGTTCATTTTTTCGAAGCTCCAGCTGTTTAATGTTGTTCATTTTTGTAGTTTGTTATGTTATAGTGTTGTATAGGTCCGTTCGTTGATATCGATTGTGTCGTAGGTTGAGGGTTGAGAGTAGCGCCTGAGAGCCGATGAGTCAGCCGGCGCGGCCCAAAGGAAAAAAGAAGTACCGTAACTAATTCCTTTACATTTATAGCCCTACAACAAGAGTAAAACATTTGTTAGAATTAAATACATTTAATTGTAATAATTCCTGTAATTGTCTTCGTGTTTCTTATGAAGAAGCATGTTTGGATTCCCCATTGCATAAATGTATTTAATGTTGTTTGGTATTATTAATTGATTAAATAATCTACGGAAGCACATTTATTAAAACAACATACCAATTATTTCTTTTTCAAAATTCATGCTGCGAGAAATAATTCAAAGTAGTAACCCAGTTCTACTGGGATGTGCATTCATGATTGTAAATACACATACATTTGTATGTATATACATATATACACATTCAGTAAAAGACATTTCATATAAACATATGATTAATACGCATTGAACAGCTGATTCATTCGTGTATACTGTTTGTATATAAGCATACATTCATATATTTATTGATGTATGTATTTATAAATACTCTCAGCATATGGACATTCATTTCAGCTCGGCTGCTCACACACACAGACAACAATTACTAAAACTGTTGATATCAATAAAAAAATACCAGGGCCGCATTTAGATTTTCACCGACATCTGCAATGTACATTACATATTAATTTCACTGTCACTATTATATTTATATATTGGGGTAAGAAAATAATACTATATAAAATTCAGTTATTATTATTTAGAAAATCATAAAATATGTTAAATGACTGTAAAAATAATATAGCTTACTGAATATTTGAAGATAATAGGAAAATTAGAATATTTAATTTTCCTCTAAAGTAAAATTTAAAAAGAATTCAATTTGTGAATTGAATATTACTTCGTTCTCTAAAATCGGTTAAGAAATTTTTAGAATTTTGACTTGATTTATGGGCCACTACTTCACCGCAGTGCGCCACTGGTCATTTCAGTTAGAGAAAAAAACACACGCAGTTAGTCTCTTGGCTCTCTGTTTCGAAAATGCAAGCGCACGAAATGCATAAATGTACATGGTAGTATGTACATACATATAAATATATATATTTATATATATATATATGTATATTTATATATTTGTATACATATGTGGGATGTGTGCAGGGATTCAAGCATACATTTTGCAAGCCAGTTCACTTAAACAGCTGTAAGCGATCGACAACGACCTCATCGGTTTAAAATAAAGAACGAAAAAGCTAAAAAAAATGTACGATAATATATGTATGTTCTTATACTAAATCATATATATTTATACATATATTAACAAGACAGAAAAATAAAAGAAAATTGTCGAGTAACAAAAAATGAAATATACGTGTGTACATATGTATGTATATACATAAATATATAACACTTCGTTTGTGTGGGTATAAAGAGCGATAAAAATAACAACCTAAAGTAATTTGCGTAGTGTATTTATATGTACATATGTATGTATTTATTTACGTGCTTATGTACAACAGACATTTGTACGAATGTATACGTACGTATGAATGTAGTTTCTCGTCACATTCAACTCGTATCTCAATCGTTTCGTGTTCGTCGTGTCTGCTGCTTTGCGATTGTGTTGTACTGGCTCTTGGCGCTTAGATTGAATTAAGCCAGAATGCTCCGAGTTTGCCGCGGAGCAGTCGGTCGCAATATGTGTTCTGCTCCGTCGTAATCTCGGTAAATATATACATATATAGGCAAATGATAAAGATCCAAACTAAAACCAAATTGCCATTAAATTATAAATAACGTTCATTAAATGTAACTAATTAAGCAACAAGTGTTGAGCAATAAGTATGTACATTTGCATATGAATATATAGTGTGTTTGTGAAGTTTGAAGTGAATAAACCTTTCAATTTCTTATGTACATACATATGTACAATTATAATTGACGTGCATTTTGATTATGGTTCTGAGTGTCGTTTTATGCACAGTGAACATTTAAGAATACACTTACATATATTGTACTTTTTTTACGGAAGAAATAAAATATAAAAATCATGCATGAAATAATAAATATACGTATACGTACAAATATATATGTACATTTATATCCACAATACATTTTCAGGGTTTTTCTTCTGTTTCACTGTTTTGTTTCGGAACAAGCGATTTAAAATTTAAATATAAATATAAGACGCACTTTCATGTTTTGACTGTGGCAATAAGTTTGTTTTTTTACATGTACACACATATATACACATGTATGTAGTGTGCGTGAATAAATGTTTGAAAATTTGTACACATATATACATACATATATGTGCATGTGTAAGATTGTGCATCTGTGAATTTTTATTGTGTTTCCGCAAGAGTATACAAAGTTTTAAACATGTATTTACGCACGCTACATATGTGTGTACATTCGTATGTATAGATATGAAAAAAATACACTCATTACTACAGAAAAAACATGAACGTGCGTCTTTGAATATAGCGAATACAAAACTAGGAACCAGTTTCACCTTGATTATACTGTATACATACGTATGTATGCATGTGCATGCATACACAAGATATATACATATGTATGTATACTATATACATATATACAAGAAGCGTTCAAAACATAAGGAATAACAAGCATATTCACATACTTACATGCATATGCATATCGAAAAATAATAATAATATATATACATGTATATGCATATACAAATAATATATAAAAATAATATATATATTATATATATATATATATATATATATATATAATATATATATTATTTATTTTATATGCAAACTCATGTATGTATGTATATTAAACAGTGTTAAGTACATACATATGCATTTGATCGAATAAATAAAATGATCAGTTTATACTAATTGTTTGTATTTGTTCATATATGCCTACATTCTTACACACATACTTGTACATATTATTTGTATGTATTTACATACATATGTATGTAGTAGTATATTAATCAAATAAACCAAATAAGAAATACAAATGAATCACATGCAAATGCACTCGGACATACGTACATGCATATATGTACATAGATTTACATATATGTAAATATACGCATATGTATAAATACGTATATTTTTTGTTTTTTATGTAATGAAATAAAAATGATTGGCCAGTCTACTCAGGGATAAACCACTATTATTACTGCAAAGATCTGGATTAGAGTAACAAGCCAACTCCACTCAAATAATCACTCATGCACTAACGTCGTTATACAACACATTTTAAAACTTTTAAAATAAAAAGGCGTACAAGTTAATTACAAAAAAAAAAAAATAAACGTTGGTGCCACATTCTGCCTCCACCAGAACTAAAATGGAGAAATATGCAAATAGCAGCAAAAGCAAAAGATCTCCAACAGAAAGTATGCAAAGACTAGAAAGGGAAATTGATAATTCGGATTTGGTTTTTGGATCTGCACTCGTTCCAGTTAACTCCAGTACTCCATATTCAGATGCAACTCAAGTAAGTGCATTTTATTTTCCGTATTTAATAATAGTTATTTAAATATAAATTGTCGTTCGAAATGACTTGGATTTTGGCTTAAGTCTTATACTTTTGTTTATTTGTTATTCCTCAAAAAGAATTAAAATTTCGACTAAATAATTGGATATATATATACGTATTTATGTATAAATACCTATATATTTAAATTCTATAGTCATATAAAAATATTTTTAATTTATAAAAATTGATTATCTGATTGATTTATAACTCCCTTTACTCATGTGTATATGTATTAAAACAATGAGTATACATATGTATGTATGTATGTATATACTACAAGTCATATGTCTTCATTCTTCAATACTTTAATGATTTTGTTAACTTTTGTGCATATGTATGTGTTAGTAGTACTTAGTACTCTTAGATATTTATGTATGAAAGTACTATCGTTCATGGATTTCATAGGTGAAGAACGGAAGTCATGTCGATTGAAGAGGTCAATGAAATGTATTATCGATAACATATCTTATGCAGACACATATATATCAGTATATATAATTACGTACTTGCGTATTCATATTGTTCGATTAGTTTTAGATAACAATGTGATGCAGGTGCACTCTACGACGGGTTCTTAGGATTTCTACCCGAAAGTGTTGAACAATCGCGAAAAACGGTTGTACGAACCATTTTTTGTCTACCATCCGATCGGCCTTGAGTTCATTTAAAAAGTTTTTTCTCAAATTCATGCAGGTGTGCTTCACACTTTTCGGGTGTGAAAGACTTCGTGGGTGAATTTTCGCATTGAAGGATATTTACTAAAATTCATTCTAGGCGTGCTACACATTTTCTAATTGCCTCTAAACTTATAAAAACCCTACATAAGGTGAAACGTTTTTCGGCGATTTAAAAAACTCCACCCGTAACTGTGGTAAATTGGAAAATGGTCTTACGAAAGCTTTTTGTTTACCATCCAATCGCCTTTAAGATCAGAGATCCTTGTTATACACTCTTTGCGTTAGTCAGAGCGAAATTAAAAGTTTCGGCCTCAAAGTTATTTTCACTAAATAACAAAAAATGAAGACATTCAAATTTTCGACGGATGGGAACTGGGTAAATAGGTAATATATAAAATGCTTGGGTCAAACCTTGCCACGGGCAGAGCCGGGTAATACCCGCTAGTGTATGTATAAATTATAAATTATATTTATATATATAAATTTACTTTGTGCACTTTAGTCGACATTGACAAATTAGGAGATCCCTGAATACTGCAAATTGCATTCGGTATACTTCACACACGCCTTAGATTTTGCACATAAGCTAGCGAAAGCTATGAATAACAGAAATAACTTTCTTCAATATCTTATCTTTATTAATCCCTACTCTAGCAATTAAATTATAAGATAATGTTGTGTGATTTCTTTAAATAATTTTCACCTACGCGGGTTTACATATACAAAATGCTTTTGATCAATAATATAAAAACCAGACTGTTTTTATACACTTTCATTGATTTATTATGGGTTCAGTGTAATTGAAAAACGTATACAACAGGCCCTAGGCTCCTGATGAGCACAAATAGTATATCTAGCCATATCCTTCCCTCTGTCTGTACAAAGTTTGATTCTAATTATTAACTACCTTCTAAATAGTTTTGCGCAAATGTATGTAAAAGGCAGAAGGCAGTATCTCCGACCCCATAAGGTATACATATATTTGGTCAGTATCAAAATGGTCCATTTAGAGATGGACCGATGGGAGCTAGGGACTTGAAAATTTAACCGTGAGTCCCCCCAGTGGCTTAGTGCGCGCAGTACGAGTTAATCGATAAATTGTTCCGTTTTCAAGCAGTCGATAAGAATTGATATCGAAATCCTTAGAGTCATCAACACTGACATCTAGCTTCTAGATAAGTATAAACAGATCAAGTATCTTAAATTTAACAGCTATTCTGCAGCTAGTGCAAATTGCAAGAATTTCTGTATACACGTACACATACACAATCATGCGTGTCTATTGAATTCTATAAACAGCAGCGCACTTGCGATTGTATTGTATACTGTGCTGATTTTTTATCTGCGAAAACGAATTTTTGGTTTGGCTGCTGATTAGAGACGGTGGCGCAAGTTCTGTTGGTTATGGGTTCGAGTCTCATAGAGTCGGAAACTCCCTACTATAACATCTAAATTGTTATAAATATTATCAAAAAATTTTTAAATTAAAATAGCGAAATTGAAATTTTTAGCTGTGTATTTTGAAGAACTAGAAATGAATCATGTTATTGAGAACCTTTGGCAAGAAGTTGTTAAGCCAATAAACATAAACATATGTACATATATGTATATACACATAATTATATCCTTACATTTTGCTTTAACATATTACATACACATTACATATTATCAAGGGCACGTAATGTCAATGGCCGTTGTAGCATTCGTCTGGTTTCACCTCATCATCGCTGTATATCCCATTCGTTTAAGCTAACACAACCAAACTGGTGTTTTTTTTTTGCTCGGTCGTTGCTACTAGCTATATTGGTTGGTTGAACTTGGGGTTGACGAACTTACTTCAAGGTCGAAGTTAACGCTATTCCTAGTGCTTTTTTTTGTGTCTCTAATAAAACGGTTATTCACATCAGTTATTTTATGTCCATTGCGGTATATTGCACTTGGTGAACTATACATACATATGTTAACGAAACATTATCAACATTAACATTAACATATGCATGTGCATATGCGTATGGATATACATACACATATACATATACATATACATATACTTATACATATACATATACATATACATATACATATACATATACATATACATATACATATACATATACATATACATATACATATACATATACATATACATATACATATACATATACATATACATATACATATACATATACATATACATATACATATACATATGCATATACATATACATATACATATACATATACATATACATATACATATACATATACATATACATATACATATACATATACATATACATATACATATACATATACATATACATATACATATACATATACATATACATATACATATGCATATACATATTATATTAATAAAAAACAAGTAAGAGGTTCTAGTCGGGAGCTTCCGACTAGGGGATACCCTGAACCCTCTTCTTCCGACAGGCGAAAGGTATAAAATGAAAAATACTTGGTTTATATATATACTATTCTAGAAGCTACT